TGTAGATTAGGAAAATTGTTAAACATCAGTAACCATCAAGGAAGTGCAAATCAAAGCCATATGCAGGGTCATATCCAACTTGTTATATTTCTTGTCAAGAAATCAGAGTAATTGTAATTGATGGTGAGGATGTAGAAAAAGAGGAGCCTTTTTTGCACTGTTGGGAGCCTTTTTGCACTGTTGGTATGAATATATAAACTAGGCTAGCCATTATAGGAAATAGTACTGAGATTTCTCAAAAAAGACCTGTCATATGATACAGCAGTCCCATTTCTGAGTATAAATCTAATGAAATCACTACTCAAAGAGATTTGCACTCATGTTCATTGAAGCATTATTTATAAGAGCTAAGATATGGACACAACTTGCACATGTTTATCAAGCAGATGGATGAAGAAAATGTGATACTCAGGTACACACATGGAAATGTTATTCAGAAAAAGAAAAGACGGGGCTGGGAAGGTAGCTCAGCGGTAGAGTGCATGCCTTGCAAGCATGAGGCCCTGGGTTCGATTCCTCAGCACCACATAAACAGAAAAAGCTGGAAGTGGCGCTGTGGCTCCAGTGGTAGAGCACTAGCCTTGAGCTGAAGAGCTGAGGGACAGCGCCCAGACCCAGAGTTCAGGCCCCATGACCGACAAAAAACAAACAAAAAAAACCAGAAAAAGAAAAGACAAGAAAAATCCTGCCGTTTGTGGTAATATGGATCAACCTGGAAGACTTTCTGTTAAGTGAAATAAAGCAGGCACACTATATTTTGTGATCTTACATAGATGAGAAATCTGCAAGAAAAAAAAAGAAAGCCACAGAAAGCAGAATGATAGCTGCCAGGGAAAGGTTAAGACCCTAGTTATAGGCCATGAGCTTTCTGGAAATGTATAACATGATGACTACAGTTAACTATTTATTATATACTTCAAAGAGAGTACATCTTTTGTGTCATCATTAGAACAAAACAAACAAACAAACAAAAAAAAACACCAAACTAGATTCTGGATGCTGGACGCTCACTCCTATAGTCCTAGCTACTCAGGAGGCTGAAATCTGAGGATCTGCCAGCCTGTGCAGTAAAGTTTGAGACTCTTATCTCCAGTTAATCACCAAAAAAAAGCTGGACTGAAGACATGGCTCAAGTAGTAGAGCTTCAGCTGTGAGCAAAAAGCTAAGGGGGAGAACAAGACGCTGAGTTCCAATTCCCTGTACTGCCTCCTCCTAACCACCCTCCCCCTGCAAAAAAAAAAAAAAGTTAAAAAGGGACTCCTTGTGATACATTGGGTAGGTAATCCAGAGTAATTTCTCTGACAAGATCCTTAATCACACCTGCAAAGTCCCTTTTGTCATAGAGGATAAATATTTGTAGATTCTGAGAATTAGAATTACTATTATTGCCAGTGTTCACATCTTCATTGAGTCTCTTTTTATATTTGTTGTTATTAAGTAACCATACAAAGGGGTTGCCATTCCATAAATCATGTTATGAGTGCAATGCTTCTTGGTCAATGTCAGCTATTCTTTGTTCTCCACATTAAGCCTTTTTTTTTTTAAGTCTCTTTTTCTCCTGTGTCCTTGTTTCTTGAATTTTATTTGTACTTTCCCATACTTTGGACTCTGCTGGTTTTATTGCTATAATATTTGGCTATTTTTCTATATTTCCTATAGCAGAGTAATTTAATTAGTTGCATCTGAAGCTTAATTTGATTCAATTCTTCTTAATAGCAAGACTACTTCATAGGTAATGTTCTCCTTACAGTAAGAGTCACATAAAGTCTGAATTTATTTTTTGGGATGTTCATATCCATTAATGTTTAATAAGTATCTCTATTAATACATTGAGATTTGTAAAATCTTGGTGTTCTATTGTCATCCATTTATTAGCTGGAATATTTCCCTTACTTAAAACTAGTTACCCACTGGTACATATCTTTGGTGCTGATTCTTGACCTTCATGTAAAGAATAGAAGATTTGGGCTGGGAATGTAGCTTAAGTGGTAGAGTGCCTTTTTTTCAGTACTAAGATGTCACATCTCCTGATTTTCAGTTTGTTGGCAGAAGTTTGTTATACTTGTTTCTTTTATGTTGCATTTTCTTGACTTTAAGAATTTTTTTTTTACTTTAACCATTTGAATACCACATATCTTGGGGTTTTTCTTTTTTAAAATTTTCCCTTTTGGGGGGATATTCTGAGACGTGTTTTGAAGCTCTTTTTAAAAAAAAAAAATCAAATTCTTGACTATTTTCTCTAAATACATTTAATTGTTCTCTTTTTCTCCTGGAATTCCTATGACATATATGTTAGGCTAATTTGATATTGTTTACTGTTCTTGAATGTTTTGTATCGTCGTCTTCTTTCCTTTTTTATATAATTTGGGTAATTTCTATTAACCTTGTTAAGTTCACTGACACTTTTCTTCTCTGTGGCAGATCTATTGCTGAACCCATCTAAGTTACTTTTAACCTCTTTATTTTTAATAAAGTACAGTTTTTAGGGTTTTCAAAAAATCATTTGCATTTGACTCATTATTTTTATCTTGTATTGAAATACCTCACTAATTTATGCTTGTTCTTAAATAGAGCTTGTTCTTAACTTGTTCTTAACACACTAGTCATTGTTATTTTAAGTTCTCTGATGGTTCAGACCTATATATTATTTTCATATTTTGTTCTCTTGATGTCTTTGCCCTTGGCATTGGCATCCTCTTCTTCTTGCGTGTCTTACAGTTTTTATTTGAAAACTGTAGAGTGTTCAAGAAGTATAAGTCTAAGGTATAACTACTACTCATGCTTGGAAATGACAAGCTTTTCTTTTGCTAAGTTTATAATGTAGAGGTAGGAGGTCAGCTTATTCAGGAATTGAGTTAGATTTGCATATTGTGGTTGCTACAGTTACCTAGCTGATGTTTTCTCTAGGCTCCTCTTTAAGTGGGTTTGTTTGGTGGAGGGTTTCCTTGAGTATTTCTGCCAGCTCTAAACTTTAGGCCTTCCTATTTTCCTGTGCTTTACAGGAATTTTCATGTTCCTGCTCTTTCCATTGTGTTAGGTACCTGTTGGTTATTTCATGCTTATTTCATGGTTGTGAGGAGTGGAATTCATTCTTTTGGTTTTCCTATCTAGATTCAGCTCTTTGACCTTGATTATTGGGGCAAGGCTTCATCCAAGAACCACTCCCCCACAACACAAAACAAAACAAAAACTCCAAAACTAAGACCTTTAATTATTTGAGCCAAGGAATGTAGAGAACTTTTTACCTTTTTCCTTTCCTCTACAGCAATGGTTTTGTTTCCTATTACCTCTGGTAATATTGTTGTTGGATCTCTTTCCTTCAGGACTTTTCTTTCCTGTAGGACAAGAGTAATGGAAGCATTTGTGCCTTTCCTGCAGTCAGCTGCTCCCTTTTCCCCATAATACTACTACAAAGAGACACTCCAATTTCCTGCCCAGCCCTCAGTCTTAATTATGAGTGTGGAGGCTTTGTGGACTGAGCTTGCCAGAGAGTATAAAGTAGATAGAGCCTGTGAATGGGTACAAACGTCTCCTGTCTATGGCTACCAGCTCTGTATTTTTGTACTGGCCAACACTCATTTATCAATAGTCTGCTAAGTACAGTTGACTTCTTAATACTAGTTTCATTTTTCTCCTGCCTTCTGTAATATGTGGCCTACTGCTATAGTACCATGTCTTTTTTTTTTGTCAGTCCTGGGGCTTGAACTCAAGTACTGGACACTGTCCCTGTTCTTCTTTAAGCTTGAGGCTAGCACTCTGCCACTTGAGCCACAGCACCACTTCCAGCCTTTTCTGTTTATGTGGAACTGAGAAATGGAACCAGGGCTTCGTGCATGCTAGGCAAGCACTCTACCACTAAGCCACATTCCCAGCCACTGCCCCACCCCAATGTCTTTTTTTTTTTTTTTTAAGATTTCAGTTTTGCTAGTTACTTTTCAACCTCACCTTTCCGATGGATTCAGCAACAGTTATGATTTTGTAGGTGATTGCTTTTTCTTAAAGTAGAAATGACATTTTCCTGCATTGTAGACAAAAATACAGAGTGTTCTTCTATTTTTAGCTGTTAGATTTAGGAAACATTTCAAAGTTATAGAAAGATTGCAAGTATACTCAGAGAACTGGTCTAGTCACCTAATTTACCAGTTATTAACTTTTTTTTTTTTTTGCCAGATGTACTTTATCAATATTGTCCTATATATTTACAATATGTTATTGTCATCATTATTGAACCATTTGAAAATATAATAACCAAACTCCATGACTATTAACTCTGAATACTGTAGTCTCATTTTTTTCAATACCCAAGTGTACTTCTTATTTATTTTGTCCCTGTCCCTGAGCTTTTTCTTTTTTTAAATTTTTTTTCCTTATTGAGATTAAGTAGTTACGTAAATTTCACAGTATTGTAGGATAGTGATACTTAAAGTCACAGACACATTTTAACCTTCACAAGGCACATTGTCATTATTGTGGTCTATAAAGCTTATGGACTCTACAAACTTTTACACTACTGCTGTTGTTTCCAAATTGGGTGATATGTACTCCTTTTGCTAAGTGTAAGCCGTTCCCTCTTAATCTTTCATTCCCTCCCTCCCATCACTGCCTTTGAGTTGCTTAGTTCACTTTCATCAATGTTCAGTGCAGCTGATGGCCCCCTCTGTTGTATTTTTTTCCTCTTTCCCACTGATTCTGTGCCTTCCACCTAGCTTCCTTCAGATGTGCACACATATAAATACCATATATATATGAGGTCAAGAACGTGTTATCTAGAAATAATATGACAAATTAAGAAGTCCTTTGTTTCTTGAGTCCTGTTTACTTTGTCATATCTCCTTGCATTTTGAGTTTAACATCCACATATCAGGGAGACCATGTGTCATTTATACAGTCTCATTTTTTTAAGTTGGTAATAGGCGAAGATTTCTGTGTCAGAAATTATATGCTGATATTAAAGTATGCATCAATAATTTTTATTCATTAAGATCTCTTTCTTTCTGTAGGTATCATTATTAGGATTGGAAATTTTAAGTGCCTTTGTGGACAGATTATCAACACGATTTAAATCCTATATACCACTGGGTAAGTTAAGTTTAATTATTTAAAAATCATTTGAGAGTTTGATACAGTGGCCTTTTCTCCCCTAGTTCTTGTTGAACAGAATTAGTTCCCTGTAAGGTAAAAAAATGCAGTTTTGTACATCCCAGAGGTCTACTCCTTAATGTTCTAGTTTACCCAAAGATTTTAAATTTGTTTAAATATAGAGTTACATTCTCATTGAAGTTAACAAAAAAGAACAGTCTCTAGGCATCAGTGCTCACATCTGTAATCCTAGCTGCTCAGGAGGCTGAGATCTAAGGATTGCAATCTAAAGCCTACCTGAGCTTTTTTGCTCAAGGTCAGTGCACTATCACTTTCAGCCACAGCACCACTTCCAGTTTTCTGGTAGTTAATTGGAAATAAGAGTCTTACAGACTTTCCTGCCTTGGCTGGCTTTGAACTGAGATCCTCAAATCTTAGCCTCCTCAGTGGCTAGGATTGCAGATGTGAGCCACTGGCACCCGGCTTACTAATATAATTCTAAAATATGTTCTCCATATACTCTCATAGTAATACAAATACATTTGGTTTTCTTTTGTGACTACATGTATTGTACAAAAGTAAAATTTTCCAAACCAAAACATAATTTGTATTTAATAATAATCACCAAACTTAATTTTTAAAATTTATATAAGTTTTAAACATAGTTCTAGTTTAGTAAGTTTAGTAATGTGTCTTATATTTTATGAATTTTAAACATAGTTTCACCCCCTCATAATATGCCAGAAAGAATACTAAGAATAGTCAGGACACCCAATCATTAGTTTTGTGTTTTATAAAATAGTTTATCTTTTACAATGGTAGGAGAATAAAATAGACTAACACGTATGCTTTAGCTTTTTTCCTTTTATCAGTGTCTCTGATCAGTCTTTGATAGATTGATTCATTTGTTTTACAAATTCATATTGAGAACCTCCATAGTAAACAGCTCTTCTGTGGATGCCCAGCAAATAATATATATTGTCTGTTCACTATATTTAATGACAACTCGATGTGTGTGTGTGTATATTTAGTTTTTTAAATTGTTATCATGAAGGTAATATACAGAGGGGCTACAGTTTCATAAGTAATGAGTACATTTCTTTTTGAACCATGTCAACCCTTTCTTTGCCCTCTCAGTTTTTCCTTCCTGTTCCCTACCTACAGTGATCATTATGTTTTAAACAGATCTTTAGGGAAGACCACTAACTCAACTGACTTCTTCTTTTGCCTTTTTCCTGTTATCTTTATCCTTGGTAACTCCTCTCCCTGCCCCCACTCTCCCCCCTTTTTTGGGCCTGTCATGGAGCTTGAGCTCAGGCCTGACCACTGTTCTTGAGCTTCTTTTGCTCAAAGTTAGCACTCAACCACTTGAGCCAGAGCTCCACTTCTGGCTTTTGAGGGAATGGTTTAATGGAGATAGGAGCTTGTGGACTTCCTGCCCAGGTAGGATTCAAACCATAATCCTCAGATCTTAGCTTTCTGAGTACCTATGATTGTAGGCATAAGTCATCGGCACCCTACTAATAACTCTTATTATAGATAAGAAAACTTTAAGATTAGAGAATTTCACTATCTTGTAAAATTTATAACTGATAGAGTTCAGAATAAAATCTTGTCCTATTTGTTTCCAAGAGAATAGGTATTAAAAGGGGATTTACTCATTTATGCATGCATTCCTTGTCTTACTAAGCAGCCCAGCCTGGCTGCAAATTCACAATCCCCCTCCTTTATTTCTTGAAAAAAGGGCTAGGATTTTACTTGTGTATCATCACCACACCCTGCTCAGGAAGGGATTTCAGTGCAAAATCATGAAATCATGTGGCCATAATAATACTAAATTTATGTAATGTACAGTGTTTTTTTTTTGTTGTTTTTTTTCTTCTGGTATTGAGGTTTGAACTCAGGGCCTTTCACTTGCTTGGCTTACTTACTTGGCTGGCATTCTACTATGTGAGCCAAGCCTCCAGCCTTTGTTTTTGTTGGTTATTTTGGAGATAGTGTCTTTAGGAGTTTTCTTTCTGGGCTGGCTTTGATCCTCCGGATCTTACCCTCCTGAGTGGACAGGATTATAGGTTAGAACCGCTGGTTTCTGGCTTTGTTCTTGATTTGTTTCCATTTTATAAAATTATTTTTTGTGTGTGTAGGTAGTGTTAATAGGGTTGAACTCAGGGTCTCATGCTTGCTAGGTAGGTTTTATCATCTCTAGGCTTATGTTTTTGTTTGAGGCTAGTCTTGAACTATAATTTTGCTGCCTATGACCTCCCATAAGATTGGAATTATGAATATGGGCACATACCATTATGCTTAGTTTATTGATTGAGATTGGGCCTTGCTGAATTTTTTCCCAGGTTGGCCTAGAACTGTGATCTTCCTAGGCTCCTTCTCTTAAATAGCTGAGATTATAAGTGTGAACCAATGTGTGTAGCTAAAATTACTTTATATTATTGAAATAAATTCCTATTTGGATCAACAATTTGCATTTTATTAAAATTTTACTTTTGAAGAATGAAGTATCTTTTTTTCCCTTTACTGTTACTTGGTTAAAACATTTCTCATTCCTTCCCTACTCCCTCTTTACACTATAGATTAATCTTATATAGGTTATTTAAATTCTGGTTTTACTACTTGTGAAGTGGACAAGTTACTTAATTCCTCTGGACTTTCTCTGTTAAATAAGCCTTCTCTATTCATAGGATTGTTGTGAAGATTAGATGATGTAATTCAGTGATTATAGTATCTTTTTTTTGGGGGGGGGGGGGTCTGGTTGTGGGGCCTGAACTCTGGCCCAGGTGCTGTCCCTCAGCTCTTCAGCTCAAGGCTAGCGCTCTACCACTTGAGCCATAGCACCACTTCCGGCTTTTTTCTTTTTGCTTATGTGGTGCTGAGGAATCAAACCCAGGGCCTCAGGCATGCAAGGCAAGCACTCTACCACTGAGCCACCTTCCCAACCCCCAAAGTTTATGAATTCTATGAGCTTTGACAATACAGCTATTTCTTCCACATCAGGTGATATGTACATTTCTTTCCTACTGTTCAGTGTAAGCTGTTCCCTCTTTTTCTCTCATTCCCTCCCTCCCATCACTGCTTTTGCATTGCTTAGTTCATTTTCATCTATCTCCAGTGCAGCTGATAGGCTTCTCTGTTGTCTGTTTTCCCATTTCCCCTGATTCTGTGTCTTCCTCCTAGCTTCCCTCAGATGTGTGCATATATATACCATATATGTGGTCAAGAACATGGAGTCATTTAGCAATGATATGACAAAATGAGTGGAAGTCCTTTGTTTCTCGAGTGCTGTTTACTTTGTCATATCTTCTTGCATTTTGGCTTTAGCATCTACATATTAGGGAGACCATGTGCAGTTTGTCTCTTTGCTCTTGGATTACCTAGCTCAAAATGATTTGCTCTAGGTCCATCCATTTCCCTGCAAATGCCATTATTTTGTCCTCTCTAATGCCCAGTACCTTATTGATGATGCCTTAGTCCAGAAACTAAAACTGCAAGCTTTCTGTGACAACTTCCTTCAACCACAGGTCACCCCTTTGGGCTAAACAGTTTCTTGCTTGTCTGTAGAGCTTAACAATTCGTAATAGAATGTGGTTTTTTTTTTTTTGCTTGTTCTTTGAACACCTTTTTTTTTTTTTTTTGCCTGTGGTGGGGCCTGAACTTTGGGCCAGGGTGCTGTCCCACAGCTCTTCAGCTCAAGGCTAGTGCTCTACCACTTGAGCCACAGCACCACTTCCGACTTTTTCTGCTTATGTGGTGTTGAGGAATTGAACCCAAGGCCTCAGGCGTGCAAGGGAAGCACTCTACCACTGAGCCACCTTCCCAGCCCCCTCTTTGAATACTTTTAAGTCCATGTCATACTGTTAAATTTCCTTCTCAGTTACTTCAGTTGACTCGTGAATAAGGAGTATAAAACAATTTCTTCTCACAGCTCTTCATTTATGGAAGCAATTGGTATATGTGCTTTTTTAAAAAAAAAGTTTGTAATGAAGTTGAGTAATAAATATTTCCTCTTTCCCCCTCTTTAGTTATTGTAGCTTTAGTAGACAGAATGGGAGATGCCAAAGACAAAGTTCGAGATGAAGCTCAAACTCTGATATTGAAGTTAATGGATGAAGTATCAACACCAGCAGTAAGCATACATTTTAAAATTCTGATTCTTTTAGGCAATGATGAACTATCAGTAAAAAATAGATGGTAATCAACTCAGTTTACTAAGGCTTTACTAAGGCAGAAATGCTTGTGTATTGTTGTTAATGTTTTAAAGATACTGAGATTTAAGCTACAGTGTCAATACTTAGTTTTTATTTTGTTCATTTTGTTTTCTTTATGCTTTAAAAAACACTTATAGGGTTAAGTGATTTAATTGTATACTGACCATGATTTTCTTGATATCCTTGCTTGGAATTTATAAAATGTTGAATGAGAATTAAATTCTGAATTTCTTATAGAAACAGAATTTTCTTTTTTCTTTTGGCCAGAAATCAGAACTTCAACTTAGTACCTGATGCTTTTGCTCATTGGCTAGCCCTTTCTCAACTGAGCCATTACTCCAACCAGGAAGATTTATTTTAAACATATTATTAAGTAGTTTTTACAAAGAAGCTACAATTCCATAAGTTAGTTTGTATGTATCTTTAGCAACACCATACCTTCCATCCTTCTCCCCAAGTTTTCCCCCCTCCTATCCCTACCATCAACTTACATAGTTTGTTACATAAAGTTCATTGATTAATGACTATATTTGCTTACCTTTCTTCCCTCCATCCATGTGCCACCCTGAAATTCTTTTAAGACATGGCTACTTTTTTTTTTTTGCTAGCCCCAGGGCCTGGGCACTGTCCCTGAGCCTCTGTGTGCTCAAGGCTAGTGCTCTACCACTTGAGCCACAGCGCCACTTTGGCTTTTCCTGTGTATGTGGTACTGAGGAATCGAATTCAGGGCTTTATGCATGCTAGGCAAGTGTTCTACCACTTAGCCACATTCCCTACCTATGGCTACTATTTATATAATTTTGACAGCAGCCTGTTTTATGAATGCAGTAAAATAATTTGCCTTGTAAATTTCTTAGTCCATTTTTTTTTTTGTTCTTGTTTTTGTTTTTGTCGGTCATGGGCTTCAACTCTGGGCCTAAGCGCTGTCCCTCAGCTCTTCAGCTCAAGGCTAGCTCTCTACCACTTGAGCTACAGCGCCACTTCCTTTTAGTCCATTTTTTTGTTACTATAATACAATATCTGATATTAGCACAAAAAGAGATTTATTTAGCTCCCAGTTTTAGAGGCCAAAAGTCCAAATGGCAGAACACTATCTGGCATGGGCTCACTTGACACATCTCCCTATGGCAGAGGGCACAAGGAATCCCTGCATAATGTGAGGAAAAATCATAGGAAGCCACAGGCCAGACTTTTTTCCTAATAAAATTTTAGTGTTATTATTAAGGTGTTGTACAGAGGGGGTTACCATTTCATAAGTCATTTCATAATGAGTATATTTCTTCCTCCTGCTCCTGCTCCTGCTCCTCCTCTTCCTCCTTCTCCTCTTCCTCATTGTTATTAAGATGTTGTACAGAGGGGGTTACCATTTCATAAGTCAGGTAATGAGTATATATATTTCTTCCTCTTCCTCCTCCTCTTCCTCTTCCTCCTCCACCTCCTCTTCTTCCTCCTTCTCCTCCTCTTCCTCCTCCTCCTCTTCCTCATTATTATTAAGGTGTTGTATAGAGGGGTTACCATTTCATAAGTCAGCTAATGAGTATATATATTTCCTTTTCTTCTTCCTTCTCCTCCTCCTCCTCCTCCTTCTCTTCCTCCTTCTCCTCTTCCTTCTTCTCCTTTCTTCTTCCCAGTCTTTTGACATCTACTAAGCTATAACTGTTTAATGTCTTACCATCTCAATACCATTTTAACAAATGTAAACCATTGGGGGAAAACCACAGCATAGAGGAACTATTTTGAAAAGAGAGTAAAAATAAATTGATGTATAAACAAAGAGTAAGATAATAGCTTAGCCAGGCACTGGTGGCACACACCTGTTATCCTAGCTACTCAGGAGGCTGAGACCTGAGGATTGCTGTTTGAAGCCAGCCATGCAGGAAAACCTGTGAGTTTCTTATCTCCAATAAACTAATCAGAAAAAGCTGGAAGTGGGTGCACTGTGGCTCAAGTGGTAGAGAACTAGCTTGAGCACCAGAGCTCAGAGATAGCACTCAGGCTGAGTTCAAGCCCCAGGACTGGCAAAAAAAAAAAAAGAGAGAGAGAGAGAGAGAGCAAGAGAGAGAATAGCTCAAGTGGAAAGTCAGAACATGTAATATGGACAGTGAATATCATGTAATATTTAAACTGCATCTTAAAATAATGTTATATATGTTCAATGAAAAAAAATTCAGAGAAGACCAGGCACTTGTGGCTCATACCTATAATCCTAGCTACTCAGGAGGCTGGATCTGAGGATCATAGTTCAAAGACAGCCTGGGCAGGAAAGTCTGTAAGACTATTATCTCCAGCTTACCACCAGAAAACTGGAAGTGGCACTGTGGCTCAAAGAGATAAGAGCACTAGGAAAAGAGCTCAGGGATAGCACCGAGGCCCTGAGTTCAAGCCTTGTGGCCAAAAAACATAAGAAAACAAAAGCCACGCTAGAGAATATCAAATTGTAAAAGTAAACTGTTTTCCCAGGTATTTTATACTTCATAACAAAATCGTTGTTAATAGTTTGATGGGCAGTCCATGTTATTTTAAATTATGGTTTTCTGTTATGCAAAGTACTATCTTTGTATATGTATCTTTGTGCATAAATATATGCCAGTGGCTCATGACTGTAATCCTAGCTACTCAGGAGGCTGAAATCTGAGGATCACAGGTTGAAGTCAGCTGATCAGGAAAGTGTGAGATGCTTTATCTCCACTAAACTACCAGTGAAGCTGGAAGCAGAGCTGTGGCTCAAGTGGTAGAGCACTAGCCTTGAGCAAAAAGGTGATCAGTGTTATAGTCCAGTCCCCCTGAGTTCAAGCCCCAGTACTGGCACCAAGAAAAGTATTTATAACAAATTGAATTCCAAAGATTGTGTTGATGAGTCAGATTTTTTTTTTTTTTGGGTCCAGTTGTGGGGCCTGAACTGTGGGCCTGGGCGCTGTCCCTCAGCTCTTCAGCTCAAGGCTAGCTAGCGCTCTACCACTTGAGCCACAGTACCACTTCTGGCTTTTTTCTTTTTGCTTTATGTGGTGCAGGGCCTCATGCATACAAGGCAAGCGCTCTACCACTGAGCCAACTTCCCAGCCCGATGAGTCAGATTTTTTAAAGATATGTATATTCCTTGCTAGGCTCAAGTACTTTACCACTTTAGCCATACCCCTAACCCCCTCTCTCTTTTTATATTTTATTTTATTAATTAATTTATTGGCTTTAGTTGTTTTCTGTATTTATTTATTTTTTTTTGGGTCCGGTCGTGGGGCCTGAACTCTGGACCTGGGCGCTGTCCCTCAGCTCTTCAGCTCAAGGCTAGCACTCTACCACGTTGAGCCATAGCGCCACTTCCAGCTTTTTTCTTTTTGCTTATGTGGTGCTGAGGAATCGAACCCAGGGCCTCAGGCATGCAAGGAAAGCGCTCTACCACTGAGCCACCTTCCCAGCCCCTGTTTTCTGTATTTCTAATGTCAGCTTTAGATGGAGAACTTTATATGTATGTCTCCATATAGCTAGGATGATAGGGGTATGTGCCAACATGGCCTACGTAGTTATTAAGATGAAGTCTTGCAAACTTTTTTGCCAGATTTGTCCTTGAACCATCTCCAGAGTAACTGAGAATACAGATGCAACATCGCTCCTAGCCAAAAATTTTAGAGTCAACTTTTGAATAACCTTTGTGAAAGTTCAGAAGGGAAGAGAAAGAAAACTGAAAGAAAGGAAAATGAGTCTAGAAAGTGTTTGTATTTGGTAAATGGTAAAGGTGGTTTTCTAAATGTGGAGGCAAGGTTTATAGGGACAGTTTTCTGTGTCTTTGGAATGTTAAGGTTGAATTCCTAATTTTACCAAACTCAAATAATTATTTTGTGTAATTTGTTATAAATTTCTCTTTGCTTTCTCTTTATAAATTAAGCAGTCATAAAGGACTTGTCCCAAATGTTTCTGTAGTTGGATCTAGTATTAAGAGAATTTAAAAAGCCTAGTTATAAAATGAAAAGCCTGTTCCATGTGACAGTCTGTGGTAGTTGCTAGGCAATTTTGGACTCTTAAATGCCTACTGGACTATTTGGGTGCATAATGGTAGCATTGTTTTTTGAGGTTTCTAAAACAGAAGAAATTCTGTGTTCTTAGAAATGCAAAGATTCTTAGGTGTTGGATATGGTGGTACTGTTTGAAATCTAAAATGAAATATATATGAATAAAAAGTAAAAATGAGATTTAAATATTAAGTGAATGGGAACATTTATAAATAAATTTATAAATAGAAAAAATAAATTGGGTTTAGAAAACTTTGTAAATGAGATTGAACATCCTTAGCTCTAAAATATCCAAAATGCTTTAAAAGACCTTTTGAGATTTTGATTTCTTTGCTTTTCTTTTTTTCCCCTCGCCTGTGGTCTCCTTTTCTTCCTCCTCTTCCTCCTCCTCTTCCTCTTCCACTTCCTTCTCCTCTTTCTCCTCCTCCTCCTCCTCCTCCTCCTCTTCCTCCTCCTCTTTCTCTTCTTCTCTTCTCTTCTCCTCCTGCTTCTTTTCAACACTGGGGATTGAACTCAGGGCCTCACGCTTTCAACTTCAGTCTCTTTGCTTTTAGTTTATTTTTCAAATAAGGGCTTGCAGTTCCCCATTTTCTGTTCTGTGTAGGGAGCAGGAAATCTTTCTCTTTTCCCATTTCTCTTTATGTTAACCCAGATACACTAAAATAAATCCTTGGCTAAAACTTAAAAAAAGAAAAACAGGGTCTTGTACCAACTTTGCCTAGGTTAGCCTGGAACTATAATGCTGTTAGCTGGGATGTAGCTCTTTGTAATTGAAACTAGCTTCCTGGAACTCTTGATCTTCCTACCTCAGTTTGCCAAGTACTGGGATAACACACATGTACCACCATACTTGGCTTCAAAATCTAAATTTTTTTTTTTTTTTGTCGGTCATGAGGTCTGAACTCTGGGCCTGGGTGCTATCCCTGAGCTCTTCAGCTCAAGGCTAGCTCTCTACCACTTGAGCCACTTCGGTTTTCTGGTGATTTGTTGGAGATAAGAGTCTCACAGACTTTCCCTTCCCTGGCTGGCTTTACCTCAATCCTCAGATCTCAGTCTCCTGAGTAGCTAGGATTATAGGCATGAGCCACTGGCGCCTGGCCCTAAAGTGTTCTGAGCGTTAATATGACAGCACAAGTGAAAATATCCACATCTGACCTTATGTGACAGATCATAGTCAAAATTCAGGTGCAATAAAAATACTGTATAAAATATCCCAACTCCAGTGGCTCATGCCTATAGCTACCCAGGAAGCTTACTCAAGAAGCTGAGATTTGATGATCAATATTCAAAGCCAGCTGGGGCAGAAAAGTTCATGAGATTCTTATCTCCAATCAACCATCAGAAAAAAGCAGGAAGTAGAGCTATGGCTCAAGTGGTAGAGGACCATCCTTGAGCAAAAAAGCTCAAGGCCCTGAGTTTGAGCCCCAGTATTGGCACCAAACAAAAAGAAAAAAAGTATAAGAGTATAAAATAACCTCAATCAAGAGGCAGAGATTGCACCAGCTCCAGCATAAAGTTAGCAAAACTCTATTGCAACCATCTCAACAAATAAGTGGACATCTTTTTTTTTTTTTTTTAATGTCTGTAATCCCAGCTTCATGAGAAGTTTAGGGAGGACCCTAAACTTCTGGCCCAGCCCTCCCCCTCCCCCCAAAAAATGTGGAACCCTATCTGCTGGGCATGTGGCTCAAGTGGTGAAATGAGGCTCTGAATTCAAAACCCAGTACTACCAAAGAAATAATAAAATAACCTTCAGGGTATATATCTGTGAAATGTAAATGAGTTTTGTGTTTAGGTCTGGGCCCCATCCTACTGTATATATGTAAATATTCCAAAACCTGAAAATAAAAATTTGAAACACTATTGGTCTAAGACAATTTAAGGTAAGGGATACTTGGCTGTTATAGAAATACTAACAGTCTGAAGAAAACATTTTCTTACCAGTGAAGTTGGTTACAAGGTTAGGAAGATTTAAATTAGTATTGCATACATAACTTAATCTTATGTTACATATGTTTACTTTTCTTTCAAATAGTCCATTTGGGAACAGTTGGCTTCTGGTTTTAAGCACAAGAATTTTCGATCACGAGAAGGCGTGTGTCTGTGTCTTATTGAAACCTTAAACAAGTAAGTCTCATGATAATCGAAAACAGCATTATGTTTTTTATTTCTAAAAAAAAAAGTTACCATTTCAGTAGGTCAGGTAAAATTATGGAAATAAATTTTACATAGTTATCAATTGATTGCTAGCACAAAAACACAAAGGTAATTTATGGTCTCTCAGTTTTTTGGTAGTATTAGTTTTTTCATAGTATTAGTTTTTAGATTATCAGTTATTGATAGGAAGTGTTTTCTTAGCTGGGCACAGTGGCTCAAGTCTGTAATCCTAGCTCCTTGAGAGGTAGAGATTGAAGGATCATACTTTGAGGCCCACCTGGACTTAAAAGTTTGAGAAATTACATCTCAACCCATGGTTAGTCACCTGATACCCCAGCTGCAGGGGAAGTATGGTGGCAGGGCTCATTTGTGCATGTCTGTCCCCAGCTACAAGGAAAGTATAAGTTGAAGTATAAGTTGAAGCATAATGCCAGATGTTACCTGAAGAAAGCCATACTACAAGGAGTGGAGGCATAGCTCAAGTAGTAGAGTACCTGCCCAGCAAATACCACCTCCTCATAGGCAACTCTCACAAAAAAAAGTTTTCTTTATTATGTTAATAATAGCCACTCAAAATTGATGATCATAGAACTGATCTGTTGACAATTTAGGATTTATTTCTATTCTGGATTTGGAATTGTTTTTAACTTATTGATATTCCACATTTTAGTCCTCTTCTCCCAACTGCCTTTTGCCAGTTGGTCCTAGTCTTCCTGGAGAACTGGGTGGTTACCAAACTCATCCACCAAGCAAGACTTACCAAATGCCATAGGGCTATGACACTAGGCCGAAGAAATGCAAATTGGGGTTTTTATTCTTGTTCTGGAGAATTATTTCAGGATAGGTGGAGTATAGTCAGTAATATGTACTTGCTTTTCCTGTGGCATTATTTGCTCTTAACTATAATTTGTTTTCTTTTCTTTTTTTTATGATCGATCGTGGGGCTTGAACTCTGGGCTTGGGTGCTGTCCTTGAGCCTTCAGCTCAAGGCGAGTGCTCTACCGCTTGAGCCACAGCACCACTTCCAGTTTTCTAGTGGTTTTTATTGGCGATAAGAGTCTCATGGACTTTCCTGCCTGGGAAAGTCGATCCCAGATCTCAGCCTCCTGAGTAGCTAGGATTACAGGCGTGAGCCACCGGCGCCCGGCAGTTTGTTTTCTTTTACTGCTCTGTGGTCCTTTCTGCCATCTAGAGCTTGTAAGTGCATTCAGTCTGCACAGTTTTTGTGGGCGTTGGCTTTTCTGTCTGTCATTTGCTTTCAACCTGTGACCACATCGAAATATTAGTAAATATAAATATAGTAAATATAAATAAAAAATAAATAAAAAAGTAGTAAATATAAATAAAAATCTTTTAACTTATTTCATTGGATAACATTGTTACTTGAGACCAAGAATCTTACAAAAAGTATTTCAAAAGTAAATGCCTTGACTTCCTTAAGTAATTGATAAGTTACTAGATTTCCTAGTGCAACATTGGTTGAACATTTTGCTCTGTTGGGTCATGTGTTGACAGTTTTCAGTGTCATTCACAATTAGTCAAGTCTGCATATTTCACATTGTTTGGAATTATGTTTTTGCTTGTTTCTCATATACTTACTGTTTCAATGATGTATGCCCATCCTCTCTACCATAGAAGGCATAAGAATATTTGATTTGCTACTTAATTGAAGCCAAATTCTGTTTGTTTGTTTTTTCTCCACAAATTATATTTAGTTTTGGAGCTCAGTCACTCCTCATCAACAAGCTGGTACCACATTTGTGTGTCTTATTTGGAGATTGCAACAGTCAGGTAAATTTTTATTTATTTTTGAGCACAGACATTTTTCACTGTTCATTTTTGTTCTCTCATCTATTTATTTATTTTAAAGAAAGGGTGGGGGGAATGAAATCTTGTGCTCTTATCCCCTTTATTTCCTTTAAAGAAAGAGTGAAATGGAAATAAAGTCAAGACTTTACTTTTTTTGAGGAGCCTGTGGTCCAGGCTGGCCTGCTCCTGCCACATCTTCCCAAGTAGCCGGGACTACATGTGTATGTCACCATGCCTAGCTTTATTTTAGTTTTAGAAATACACACACCATAGTTAGTTGTTTGGGTTGTATTTTTTGTTGTTGTTTTGGTTGTTTGCTTTTGTTTTTGTTTTTGGTGGGTCATGTGGCTTCAACTCTGGGTCTGGGTGCTGTCCCTGAGCTCTTCAGCTCAAGGCTAGCGCTCTACCCCTTGAGCCACAGCGCCACTTCCAGCCTTTTCTGGTGGTTTATTAGAGATAAGAGTCTCACCAACTATCCCTGCCTGGGCTGGCTTTGAACCTCAGTCCTTAGATCTCAGTCTCCTGAGTAGCTAGGATTATAGGCATTAGCTACTGGCACTGGGCTGTAGTGTTTTTTTTGTTTGTTTGTTTGTTTGTTTTGTCGGTTATGAGGCCTGAACTCTGGGTCTGGGCATTGTACCTCAGCTCTTCAGCTCAAGACTAGCGCCCTACCACTTGAGCCACAGCGCCACTTCTGACTTTTTCTGCTTATGTGGTGCTGAGGAATTGAATCCAGGCAAACACTCTACCACTGAACCACCTTCCCAGCCCCTGGGCTGTAGTTTTTAAAAACATATTTTATTCATATAAGATGCAAAGTTGGTCTCTTTGGCTAGTTTTAAGGATAGATATTACTAAATACCTAATTGTTGAATTTGAGAAATTGGGTAACAAAGTCCCTGGGTTCCTTTCTGTAGTTAATATTTCATACATTTCTTGTTAGAAAACATCATTACCTGAGCAGTCTATGCTATAGGCATGATACAAGGATATGTTCTGAATCTTGACCCTTCTAGTGGAGCTGAATCTTAGTTGTAATATTTTGGGTTTATCTGGGGCATTTGGAATGACACTTTGTAAGATTTTTTTCCCCTCCTTTCAGTTTCTAGCTGGATCTCAGAAGGTTTGTAGAGTTTCACTGTCTATTCAAGTTGTTCTTTTTTTTTTTTTTTTTTAATGGGAAAAGAGGGTTGAATAGGTAGGAAGACAAGGTCTCTCTCTCTCTCCCTCTCTCACACCAATACAACATTTTAATATAAATGGCTAAAATACAATCTCAGAATAGTCATTAATCTCAAATAAACTTCCCAGAGCAACACAGGGTCTCTTTATGTTACCCAAGCTGTCTTTGTATTCCTTAGATCAACTGACCTGACTTTTAAAATCAGTGTTCCTAATCAGTTATTCTTTGACAGTGTACTGTACCAAGGAACTAGAACTATCTTTCAAATTCTCGTCTTTAAGTCCATTCTCCTTTTTCTTTCCTTCAATTGTGATAAAATAAACATATAATTTACCATTGCAGCTGTTTTTAAATGTACAAATCAGTGTATCAAATTCATTCACATTATTTTACAACCATTGCCACTATCCTTGTGCAGAACGTTTTCCTCTTTCCAAACTGTACCCACACAACAACTTCCTATTCTTCTTTCTCCCAGCTGCTAGCAGCCACCATTCTACTCTCTATATGAATTTGACTAGTCTAGGTACCTCGTGGAAATCAAACCATACAATATCTATTCTTTTGTATCTGATTTATTTCATTTAGCATAATATTCTCAAGGCCCAACCCTTGTAACATGTCAGAATTTTCTTCCTTTCTTTTAAAGGCTGAATAATATTCCAATAACACACACATGCATATACACAGCCAGTTTGTTTATGTGTGGAAAGGCATTTGAGTGTTTTTAATACCTTTTAGCTATTAAAAATAGTGCTTCTATGTTTATTAGTATAAAAGTGTTCAACTTCAGACCACATTCCTAAAATGAAGTTTTATTAAAAAAATTAACAATAAAATGTACATTAATAGTTTATCTTAATACAAATTAAGTTTTTTGACAGCGCATCTGTAGCTTTTTTTTTTTTTTTGCTGGTCCTGGGGCTTGATCTCAGACCCTAAGTACTGCCCCAAGCCTCTTTGTGCTCAAGCTAGTACTCTACTACTTCAGTTACAGTGCTACTTCTTGCTTTTTCTGAGTAGTTTATTGGAGACAAAAGGCTCACACACCTGTTTGTCTGGGCTGTGATCCTCAGATCTTAGCCTTCTGAGTATCTATGATTACAAGTGTGAACCACTGGTGCCCAGCTAATTTGTAACTTTTATTTACAAGTTTCTTAGATTTCTTTACAATTTTTTTAAGCTGAGATAATCTAGGGATTTCTTATCATCTTCTTGAGGTTTTTTTTTTTTTTTAATGGATGACATGTCATAATTTCCCTATGGTTTTAGAGCCATTAAAACCAATTTGGTGCTTCAAATTGATCTGTTAGTATAATGTTACCTTGAGGTGAAGAATCTTTGTCACATAAGTTTCTTTAAATATTCTGAATTCTTTGACAGGTGAGAAGTGCTGCACTCTCAGCTATAGTAGAGATTTATAGACATGTAGGAGAGAAATTGAGAATTGACCTTTATAAGAGAGGAATTCCTCCTGCCAGGTAAGTCTTGCTGGATTTATGTTTTTAACTCCTACATTTTAAAAGTACTAATTTCATTTTAAAGGAGTACAAAATTGTTACTTAAAATTTAAAAGATTCAAGGGGGCTGGGAGGTTCAGGTGGTAGAGTGTCTATTTGGCAAGTTCAAGGCCCTGAGTATCCAGTATCAAAAAAAAGACAGGTTTTACCTTACCTTCGCTTGCTACTTTCTCTGATGTTCAGTTTCTTTATGTGGATCTGAGTTTCGGATCTATATAATTTTCCTTCTCTTTAAAGAAATCCTTTTTAACATTTCTTGCAGAAGATTTACAGCCAACAAATTTCCTTAAATATTTTGAAAAAATCTTTACTTTTGAGGGATAATTTGACCAGTACAAAATGTTGGGTTTATGTTTTTGTTTTTATTTATTGATTTCTTTTTGCTTGTGAGTTTGTACATGAGAGAAAAAGAGAGTGAGAGAGTCTATATATGTACTGGGGATAGAATCCAGGGCTTTATGTCACTTAGCCATCCTCCCAACCCCATTTAACAATTGATTTCTAAGATGTTGGATGTAATTCTTATCTTTGCCTGTGTATATAAAAAAAAGGGATTTTTCCCTTGTCTTTTTATCAGGGTGTTTTTAAAACATTTTCTATTTATGATATGCTTATGTATAGTTGTTTTGACATTTATTTTGTTGCTGTTACCTGAGCTTCCTGGTTGTGTGGTTTGGTATTAATTTGGGGTGAATTCTCAGTGATTATTGTTTCCAATATTTCTTCTATTCCTTTGTCTTGTTTTGGTATGCCCATTACATTTATATAACATCTTTTTTATCTGGCTGGCTACGCCTCTTGGATATTCTGTTCTTTTTTTTCTAAAGTCTCTTTTTGTTTTTGGTGTCGAAAAGTTTTATTGAGATAAACTCAAGCTCAGTCTCCACTTTTTTCCCCTGTTTGAGTCTTACAAACTTTTCAATATTTTTGAATTCTCATATGAACATGTAGGAGACAGGCCTTAGAGACAGTATTTAGCAAACCTCATGATTAAAGGTATCCTTGTTGTTGTTGTTGTTGTGGGGCTTGAAATCAGAGCCTGGGCACTGTCCCTGAGCTTTTTTGCTCAAGGCTGGCTCTCTGCCACTTTGAGCCACAGGGCCAGTTCCAGTTTTCTGGGGGTTAATTTGGGATAAGAGTCTCACAGACTTTCCTGTCCAGGTCTGGCTTTGAACTGTGGTTCTCAGATCTCAGCTCCTGAGTAGCTAGGATTACAGGTGGAGCCACCAGCACCAGGATTAAAGCTTTATTGCTGCCCTAGCCACAACTGATGAGATTCACTCTTGGTTAGGGAGAGTGTAGCTCAGACAACTGCCACAGTTAGCTTTGCTGATGCAGAGAAAGACAGTCCTCCTGTAGCCAATTGCGTTTTATTTCATTCAGCTGTTTGAATTCTTTTTGAATTTCAAAAAAATTCTGGTGTTTGTATCCTTTGAGTTCATTCAGCTGCTTAGACATCTCCACTTTAATTAATTACATATTTTAATTTGTTGTTTGAAACTTCTTCCTCCTCACTGTCATTTATGTTTTTTTGTAAAGTTGTTGGCCTTTGAGAGAGACATGGTGCCTTTATTGTGGATTTGTTTAAATTGGGATTTACACACTGGAACTTGTGTGTGTGTGTGTGTGTGTGTGTGTGTGTGTGTGTGTGTGTGTGTGTGTGTGTGTGTCCGTGTTCATGTGTCCATCTGTCGGGTCCTGGGGCTTGAACTCAGGGCCTGGGAACTGTCCCTGAACCTCTTTGTGCTCAAGGCTAGCATTCTACCACTTGAGCCACAGCACCACTTCTGGCTTTTTCTGAGGGGTAGTTTATTGGCGAAAAGAGGCTCACAGGCTTTTCTTCCTGGGCTGGCTTTGAACTGTAATCCTCAGATCTCAGCCTCCTGTGTAGCTAGGATTACATGCGTGAGCCACCGAGTGCCTGGCTGGAACCTAGTTTTTAGGTGGAGTTTTCTCCTTTTTTGGTGGATTCTCAGAGATTGCCTAATAGTAATTAGTGGCTATGTTGTGATATATTTTCTTGCTTCTAGATTGGAAGGGTGTGGGCCAGTAGTTAAATATTCAATTTTAATGCTCAAAACACTCTTTTCCACTCAGGGTGAAGAAGCTTGGTTGCAAAAGGTGTTGCAGTTAAGACTGTGTTTGTAGCAGTCTCCAGTAAAGACCAGTCACCACTGCTGCTCCATCTTTAGATGAATATAGAAGTAAAGATGTATTTTTGTGATCTAGGAAGACTTTAGTTAACCAGGATGATCATGAAAAGGAGATAAGAAGATGACACTAATGAGTAATCCAAAGTGATGATGACATAGGGAAGGAAAGAGTGGCTTAATAGAAGAGCTTAATAGAAAAGGTTAAAAAAGTAGAGATCAGTAGAAAAGAGCTGGTTACTTTTGTGTTGAAGGAAGAAAAAAGAGAAATGAAAATTAAACAGATAAACTTGTACAAACACAAAAACTATAAAAAAAACGAAAATATTTTTAAAAATGTGATGTCTGGGCAATCTAGTTACCAGCTAAGAATACAGGTAATGAAAAGGGATTAGGAATGGGAAGATAAGAGACAGAAGAAAATATAATATGAGTGAGAGCATTTTTAAGTGTGGATAGAAGGAAAGTATAAATGAGGAAGGAGAATAAGAAAGGGAAGAAAATACAATTTAAGATTGAGTACTGAAAAGCAGATGCTCAGCTGAATATAATGACTGCAGAGAAAAGGAAGGGAGGAAAAAACGACGCGGGTAAATAGTTGGGGGAATACAAATTTGCTTATATCTGTTGTACAGAAAGATCTGTACAATTAAATAAAAAACCAAAATAACCAAACAAAAATCAGCAATTTTATTAAATAAAATAAGAATTTTCTTTTTTTTTCTCTTTCTTTTCTATCTCCCTTCTTGGCGTGTGCAGTGTGTGTGTGTGTGTGTGTGTGTGTGTGTGTGTGTGTGTGTGTGTGTGTGTGTGTGTGTGTGTGTGTGTGTGTGTGTGTGTATCTGTAGAGTGCTAGATACAGATTGTGGATATCATGATCTGGAGGGTCTGTACAGGAGGTTTCAGACTTCCTCAGCTGTCAACACATGGAACCAAAGGACAGGCCCTGGAGAGAGTACTTAGCAAACCTCAGAATTAAGCTTTATAGCTGCCCTAGTCATAGGTTATGTGTTTCATTCCTACTTGGGGAGGGATTAGCCTCTGATGACTGCCACACCCAACTTTTAATTATCTAAGCTGCCTCTACTGGTACCTCCATTTTGGATTTTGAGCCCAAACTGCACTCAGATGATTAGAGCTGCCAATCCTAATGGCTGCCATACCTCTCCTGAGTGCCTCCATAGGGAGTTCCAAGCCTCCTTCACTGGGCACTGCCAGGTATCTTGAGCAGCTGCCTCTGGTGCCTACACTGCCCATGTAGTTCCTTGAAGTTTAAACTGTTCTGCAAGGCCCTGTGGGACATTCTTTTTTCTTCAACAGTCGCTTATGACTGACTTACACCCAAATTCTATGGCAAGGTATACTTATTCTCAGCCCACTCTTTCCAGTAGGCACTCTCTCATGATAGCTGATGTTCTGCTGTCTTATCCAGGAACAACAGAATGCCCTTCTTCTACTCCCTGTTTTCACTAGTATATATTCTCAAGTTAACTTTTTATTGACTGTTGAATCCATTTGAAACAAGATTTATTTTATCATACTGGTCACATTGTAACTTTAATTTTCAGAAGGGATTTTTGTCTCTCAAATACTGCTCCCTTTGTAGTTTCCAAATTTCTTCAGTTTAAAGTATTTTTGTTTACTCATTTATATCAAAGGTATTCTTTGTTAAAACATATAATTCATAGGGTCATCAAATTGTTTTAAAATAATGTTTTTTGTCTGTCAGACTTTTTTTTTAAAAAAAATAAGTCTTGCAGTTTGGCGTTAGCATAGCCTAACACTAACAGTGAAATTGATTATAATTATAGTCCTTTTTGATGTTCATCAAAGATGCCAAGACCATTCAGTTGGGGCACAACTAGTCTTTGCAACAGGTGAACTGTGAAATTATGTAAAATTACATCTTTTCTACACAAGATATCCCCAAAATAACTAAAATAGATCTTACATTATATAGGAGTTAAAGTAGTTCAATTATGAAAATACTGAAATATTTTATGATGTGAAAGCAAAAATGTATGCAGCCCAAGAAATAATTAGATAACCTTTGGCAGTATGGCCATTTTCAGGATACTAACTCTACCTATCTATGAACATGGGAAGTCTTTCCATTTCCTTGTGTCATCTTCAATTTCTTTGTACAGATTTTTATAATTTTCACAGAAGTCTTTTGCTTCTTTGGTTATGTTTATTCTTAAATATTTTATTATTTATTTTAGACAATGGAAAATGGGGTTGTTTTCCTGATTTCCCTTTCTTTATGATTGTACTTTCCCTCCCTACCCTCACCCCCCAAGTCCGAGGGCTTGATGATTCAGGGCCTGGGCTCTATCCCTAAGTTTCTTTTTGCTCAAGGCTAGCATTCTATCACTTGAGCCACAGCACCACTTCTGGATTTTTCTGTTTATGTAGTACTGAGGAATTGAGCCCAGGGCTTACATTCACACTAGGCATGGATTCTACCACTAAGCCACAATTCCAGCCTGATTATACATTGTTGGTATACAGAAAAGCTACTGATTTTTGTGGGTTGATTTTGTATTGTGTTACTTTGCCAAAGTTATTGATCAGGAGTAGAAGTCTGGGGGTGGAGTCTCTTGAGTGGAGTCTCTTATATATAGTTTAGATATAGAAGATAATGTTATTTGCAAATAGGTTTTTTTTTAAAATTTCTTATTTCCCTATGTGAATCCCTTTTGTATTACTGTGACTAGAAAATACAGTATTACATTGAAAAGGAGTGGAAAGAGCAGACATCCTTGTTCTTGATTTTAGAAGATATGGTTTTAGTTTTTCACCATTTAGTGTTATGTTGACTGTTAGTCTGTCAGATATAGCCTCTTTTTTTTTTTTTTTTTGAGTTATGTTCCTTCTATTCCTAGCTTCTCCAAAGCTTTTTTTTTTTTTTTTTTTCTGGGGGGAGTCCAGTCGTGGGGCCTGAACTCTGGGCCTGGGCGCTGTCCCTCAGCTCTTCAGCTCCACAGCGCCACTTCTGGCTTTTTTCTTTTTGCTTATGTATTGCTGAGGAATCGAACCCAGGGCCTAATGCATGCAAGGCAAGCGCTCTACCACTGAGCCACCTTCCCAGCCCCTCCAGAGCTTTTAATATGAATGGATGTTGGATTTTGTCAATGGCTTTTTCTGCACCTAATGAGATGATCATGTGATTTTTGCTTTAGCTCTGTTAATTTTTACTACCTTTATTGACTTACATATATTAAACCAACCTTGCATCTCTAGGATAAAACCAACTTGATCATAGTGTACAGTTTTTTAAAATTAGATATTGAATTTTGTTGGCAAATATTTAATTTAAATTTAATTTAATTTTTATTTTTTTTGCCTGTCCTGGGGCATGAACTCAGGGCCTGATCACTGTCTCTCTGAGCTTCTTTTGCTCCAGGCTAGCACTCTACCACTTGAGCTATAGTGCCATTTCCAGCCTTTATTGTTTATGTAGTACTGAGGAATAACCCAGGGCTTCATGCATGCTAGGCAAGCACTCTACCACTAATCCACATTCCTAGCCAGGAAAGTATTTTATTAAGGAGCTTTGCACCTATGTTCATCAGATTGGTCTATATTCTCTTTCATTGTAGGGTGCCTACCTATTTAGGGGACGAGTGTAATGCTGGCTTCTAAAATGTGTTTGGTAGTGAGCCTTCCATTTCTATTTCATGGAAAAGTTTGAGGAGTACTAGTGTCAATTTGTCTTTAAAGGGCTTATAGAATTCAGCTGTGAATCCATCACACTTTTCCTTGTAGGACGCCTCTATTACTTCCTGGTCTCATTGCTTGTTACGGGTCTGGTTCAGCCACGGCAGCTTGTATGTCTGTAGGAATTTGTCCATTTCTACTAGGTTTTCCATCTTATTTGAGTATAGATTTTGAAAGTAGCCCTTCATAATCTTTTGGATTATTTGGATGTTTGTTGTGATATTTCCTTTATCATCTCTAATTTTCAGTCTCTTCTGTGTTTCTTTTTTTATTTTTATCAGTTTAGCCAAGGGTCTGCTAATTTTATTAATTTTTTCAAAGAAACATCTTTTGGTCTCTAATTCATTGTGTTTTCCCTAATCTTTATTGTTTCTCTTCCTGTTTTTCTAGAATGAGGTTATTTACTTGAGCTGCTTCTGTTTTCTTTATATGCACACTTACAGCTATGAATGTCCTCTCAGCAATGTTTTTGCTGTATCTCAGAGGTTTTGGTACAATGTGTTTTTATTTTCATTGGATTGTAGGAACTTTCTGATTCTCTCCTTTATTTCTTTAGTGCCCCATCAACAGTGTGTTTATTTCCCAGCGTTTGAAGTGTTTTCTGTATTTTCTTTTGCTGTTGAGTTCTAGTTTAATTCTATTGTGATCAGACAGGATACAGGGAGTTAGCTCAATTCTTTTATATTTGCTGAAGCTTGTTAAATGTCCTAGAATATAATCTATTTTTGAGAAGAGTCCAAGGGCTGCTAACAATATGTATCATGTAGTTGTTGGGTAGAATACTCTGTGATGTCTATTAAGTCCATTTGGGTTATGGTGTCATTTAATTCAGAGGCTTCTTTGGTGATCTTCTGTTGCTTGACTTACCCTTCGGTGAAAGTGGGGTGTCTCCCACTATTATTGTGTTGGGGTCTATCAGTTCTTACAAGTCTAAGGATTTGTTTAATACATTCAGGTGCTCAACTGTTTGTACCTCTATATTGACTACTATAATTTCTTCTTCGTGGATCATTCCCTTTATGTAGTGACCTTTGTCTCTTCTTGCTGATTTTAATGGAAAGTCCATTTTATCAGGTAACAGAATAATTACTCCTGCCTTCTTACAGGGTGCATTTATTTGAAAGATCTTTTTGTGTCACTTTACTTGGAATTGGTGTTTATCTTTGACTATGACATTTCATTGTTTTATGTTTGCCTTAATTTCCCTTAGCATGATGTGTGTGTGTGTGTGTGTGTGTGTGTGTGTGTGTGTGTGTGTGTGTGTGTTTGTCGGTCATGGGGCTTGAACTCTGGGCTTGGGCACTGTCCCTCAGCTCTTCAGCTCAAGGCGAGCACTCTACCTCTTGAGGTACAGCGCTACTTCCGGTTTTCTAGTGGTTTATTGGAGATAGGAGTCTCACGGTCTTTCCTGCCCGGGTTGGCTTTGAATCGCTATCCTCAGATCTCAGACTCCTGAGTAGCTAGGATTATAGGCGTGAGCCACCGGCACCCGGCTTATGTGTTTTTAAAAAGATGTCTTGGTGGAGCATAGCTGGGGCATAGCTGAAGTGGTAGAATACTGCCACAAGATCCTAGATAAATTCCCAATACCCTCCACCCCAAACAAAAAGAAAGAAAAAGAAAGACTTAGTGACTTGAGTGGATTTAATATAAGATTAGAGCTAGAATATGCTTTTTTTTTTCTTTTTCTTTTTCTTGTCCGTCTTAGGGCTTGAACTCTGGGCCTGAGCACTGTCCCTTAGCACTTCAGCTCAAGATCTACCACTTGAGTCACAGTGCCACTTCCAGTTTTCTGGTAGTTAATTGGAGAAAAGAGTCTCCAATTAACTGGGCTGTCTTTGAAACAGGATTCTCATATCTCAGCCTCCTGATTAGCTAGGATTACAGGTGTGAGCCACCAGTGCTAGAATGCTTTCTGATATACAAGAAAATCTTTTCTTACATATAAGACAAAAGGTACAGAAATCAAATATAGCAAAAAAAATAAAGGGGGTGGTGGGGAAGAACTGCAAAAAGTAAAATTAAAAAAAAAAATCTCGGGCTGGGAAGGTGGCTAAGTGGTAGAGTGCTTTCCTTGCATGCATGAGCCCTGGGTTCAATTCCTCAGCACCACATAAGTAGAAAAAGCCAGAAGTGGTGATGTGGCTCACATGACAGAGTACTAGCCTTGAACTGAATTGCTGAAGGACAGCGCCCAGGCCCAGAGTTCAGACCCCATGACAAAAAAATCTCGTTTCCACTTCTTGTATGTAAGTTTATCTGGTTTGGGGAGGGGAACAGGAAGCACAGAAATGGTGGGACAAAAGGTGAACTAATTCAGTAGTGATACTCACTAGACACTATGTTGGAAATGAACTATACAACTTGTGGGGAAGGGTATTGGGGAGGAAAAAACGGGAGAAAATGAGGGAAGGGGTGACATGATTAAAAAGAAATATACTCAGTACCTGACTTACATGACTGTAACCCTTCTGTGCATAACCTTTACAATTAAAAAAAGTTTTCTGTCTTGAGAAATCAACCACATCATGTGACAATTGTTTTTTTTTTTTTTAGTCAAGAAATGGGTTGTGTGTCTTCTTTTAGCTAGTAAATTAATTGTAGGAGAGATGTATAAGAATCTGAGAGCTGGGAAGGTGGCTCAGTGGTAGAGTGCATGCCTTGCGTGCATGAGTCCCTATGTTCCATTCCTCAGCACCACATAAGCAGAAAAAGCCAGAAGTGGTGCTGTGGCTCAAATGGTAGAGCACTAGCCTTGAGCTGAAGAGCTGAGGGACAGCGTCCAGGCCCAGAGTTCAGGCCCCACGACCAGCCAAAAAAAAAAACAACACCAAAAACACCTAACTGAATACTTATGGCTGCTCTTTTCTCACCTTTCCACACTTCTCCCTGCTTACTCTCTCTCGCTGTCCTTTGTGGTGGGATGGAACCCAGGTGGTTGTGTATACTTGCAAGTGCTCTCCCATTAACCTACATCTCCAGACCTTACAATTTTTTTTCTTTGTAAAGGATTTGGTGGCATTATTTCTGTTCATCTCATTGTAAAAATAAACAATTCTTTTATTCCCAGATTAGAAATAATATTTGCCAAATTTGATGAAGTGCAAAATTCGGGCAGTATGATTTTGAGCATCTGCAAAGGTAAGAGTAATTAAATTATTCGAACTCTCAAACATTTCTGAGACTATTCAGCAAAATTTTAGACACTAAAAAGTATTTGCAAGCCAAGTATTATATCAGTAATTCAGAAGATTTGATTTTGTGGCTTGAAAGTTTAGCTCAGGTATAATGACAAAATCTTACATCCTGCTAAGCATTACTCTTCAAAGTGAAAATGTAATAACGGGTATGTAGTTTAAATGATACTGTTCTTTTGCCTTATTTTATCTCTTTTGAGTTGAACGTGTGGTGAACATTTTGATCTCCTTGTTCCATGCATAAAATATGCTTTTACTTAGTTGTTTTTAATAGAAATTGTGAGGGTTGATGGACACTTTTTACAGCTGTATGTAGACTCAGTGATGATACTGATGTCTGGCATTTATTTTGATTGGAGGGAGTCCCAAAGATTGTAATGTAGAAGCTGATTGAAATATTGCTCGTATGGTCATATGTGAAAGCTAGTCTGTGAATGCATATTGGGGTATAAGATTGGGGGTTGGGGGAACACTGGGCACTGGTGGCTCACACCTATAATCCTAGCTACTCTGGAGTCTGAGATCTGAGGATTGTGGTTTGAAGCCAGCCGAGGCAGAAAAGTCTGTAAGACGCTTATCTCCAATTTACCACCAGAAAACTGGAAGTTTTCAAAGTGGTAGAGTGCCATCCTTGAGTGAAAAAGTTCGGGGACAGCACCCATACTCTTAAGTTCAACCACATGACCAAAAAAAAAAAAAAAGATTTGTGAGTGAGGGCAGTACTGGGGTTTTGAACTCAAGATCTCACAATTGTTAGGCAAGTGCTCTACCACTTAAACCACATGTTCCTAGCAATTTTTGCTTTAGTGATTTTTTTTTTTTCAGGTACAGTCTTGTGCTTTTGGCTGGGACCAGACAATTCGGTCCTCCTTCTTATGCTACCCAAGTATTTGGGAAGTTGCTTGTGTGTGTGTTGCCATGGCTGCCTTGTTCTCTGATAGAGGATCTTGCAAACTTTTGTTCAAAGTTGGCCTCAAACTGCATTCCTTTTTTTTTTTGCCGGTCATGGGGCCTGAACTCTGGGTCTGGGCGCTGTTCCTCAGCTCTTCAGCTCAAGACTAGCGCTCTACCACTGCATCCACAGTGCCACTTCCGGCTTTTTCTGTTTATGTGGTGCTGAGGAATCGAACCCAGGGCCTCTTGCTTGCAATGCATGCACTCTACCCCTGAGCTACCTCCCAGCCCATTCCTATCTCTTCCTTACAAGTAGCTAAGATGATAGTTATGAATCACCTCACCTGGCCAGAAGATGCGTTTCCCCCACTCAGGGCTTTACACTTGCTAGGCAAGTGTTTTGCTACTTGAGCCGCTCTCCCCAGTACCCCAAGGTTTTTTTTTATTTCACTGTATGCATAGGTTCTATAATCCATAGGTTTTGTTTGTTTGTTTTTTGCCAGCCTGGGGGCTTGAATTCAGGGCCTGGGCACTGTCCCTAAATTTCTTTTGCTCAAGGCTAGCACTCTACCACTTCCAGCTTTTTCTGTGTATGTGGTACTGAAGAATTGAACTCAGGGCTTCATGCATGCTAGGTAAACACTCTACCACTAAGCCACATTCCAAGCCCAATGAATAGGTTCTGCATCTGCAGTTTCTGCATTCACAGATTAAGTTTACTAACTATAACTGCAGATGGAAAGTGTAATTAGGCCTGAGAATATATATTTTTGTCATATTTACCTATAAAATGCAGTGTTTCCATGGTGTTTGCATTGTTCATGTATTATAAGTAATCTAGAGATGATTTTAAATATGTTGGCGAATATGTGTAGGTTATATGTAGAAACCATATTATATAATGGATTGGAGCATTGTTATATTTTAGTATCCTTAAATTTTCCTGGAACCAGTCTTCTGTGGATGCAGAGGGATGGTGCTGTTGCTGAAAAAAAATGCCTTAATCAACTAGTTAACAAAGGAAGACTTTAAAATGAGGAAGCTTGTTTAGCAGGTTAGCCAGGTTTTAGAATTTAAGCCTTCCCTCCTGTTTTTAATCCCCAAACCCCTCCCTTTTATCCAATGTAGCCCAAAGACTTTAAATAACCATAACTCCTAAATATGCAATTCTGCTGTCATTCCTCTCTCTTTCTTGGTAACTTGCAGTCTCAAGAACATTCTTTACTTAAATATCTACTAGGTGTTTCAGATTTTAGGCTAATTATAATCCTATCCTGCAATGAATCCCTTAAACCTGTTTCTTCCTCATGCTTACCCATTTCACTTTATGGCTACTGTCAAGTTAAAATCCTGACATGATTCCCCTTTCTAGCTAGTCTATTTTCTATTTCTGATACATTAACATACTTCAAATTTGCCTCCCCTTCTTCACTGGTAACACTATTCTTATTCCTCTGGCCTTGACCTGGAGCACTATACTAGATCAAGTTTGCCTCCTATAATCCCTTTGTTACCCAGAAGTCAGAGTGAGCTTCTTAAAATGCAGATTAGACTATGTCACAACAGTAAAGAGGATAGCAAAGTTTCTGCCTTTGATGAGCCTATCTCTAGGCTGGAGATAGATCATTAACAAACAAGTAAATATGCAGTTTGGTTACTGTAAGTCTTGGAGGAAATACAACTACTCCTTGTTGAGTCAATTTGCATTATTCCTTAAAATTCTGCTGTTAAATTGAAGACGTAAATGAAAAAAATTATTTTCCTTGTATTAATGACAAAACTGTAGTGTATTTCATTTCAACCCAGGATACTTGATTAATTTTCAGAGGTAGGAAAACATATCAATTGAACATTGAAAATATTTTTTGACAATTGGAAGACGAATAGTTTTTGTACAAATGAATGTTATAAAAACTATTCAGCTCCTTTTGATCTCTGAACTTCCCCCCCCCCCCCAAACTTTTTAGCCTTTTGTTGTTTAGGTTTTATCACACTCTCACAATGAAACTAGAAAATACAGTTATGGAACTGGAAAACATCTTAGGGCAAAACAAGGCTCAGCCTGAATATGTGTGAAAATGGTTCATATATACTGTTCTACGTATGTATGTGAAAAGCCATTGAAGACACTATATTTTTTCTCACTCATTTTGTTTACTTAAAAGCAAATTATTTGGGGCTCATTCAATATAACATGCATTTCAAGTTTGTTGTACATGATATTTTGTGAGAGAAACTATTATGGTCAATAAAATTGCTTATTGTCTTTTATAATAATGAAATATCATATGTCTTACAGTATAATTACTTAGAGTGCTTTGTGATAAAAAAAATCACTATGCTTTAGTAAAGACAATATAGAGCTTGTTACAAAGGTAACATAGCCTTTTTAGAGTCATTTTAGCTAACAGTTACCATCTAAATAGTACTAAGTGAAGAAAATAGAATAATGAAATTATGAGTAGTTCAGTAGTGTCACTTCAGATAGAATAGTGGAGCAAGTGTCCCTGAGGCTTGATGTATTTGAACTCATAAATGAAAATGATCCAGTCGTTGGAGAAATGGTAGGAAAACACTTGGGTAGAGGAAATCAAGACTATAAGAGCCAAGAGGTTTTGGAATAGGACTCGGTTTATTCAAAGAACAGGGAAATCAGTGCTGCCTAAAGCCCAGTGAGGTTGGTAGTAGCTTGCAGGGTAAGCATATATAAAATGCAATGGGAGAAGTAAGCATGCTATGGCATGAAGACCTTAAATAGACTATAGAATCTTATCTATATCATTTATCTATGTTAGCATATATTAATACTCATAAAGGATTTTTGGTGTGCTTCCAGGAAGTCTACATGTGGCTTTAGGCTATAGAATGACATGGTGAGTGGGGATGGATGACATAGTTTAACACTATCTTATTTGCATTTATTATTCAGATAATTTGTTTTTAAAAATTTTATTATACTTCCTCTCCCCTTATGCATATCCAAGTACTTAGGTTTTTATATCTCATACTTTTGCCTCTGATTTCTGTCCTAATTGCCATGTCTATACTCTTTTAAGTTCTGGTTTCATTCTTTATTTTCTCAAGCATTAGATCAGCACACTCATGAACAGAGTAAATTATAGCATCAGAGATTTGAGCATACCCTTTAGTTTAGGAATAGAGAGAAATTAGATTTTGTTGTTAATATTGTATTGAGAGTTTTTCAAGTCTGACTTCAGTCTCATGTTATAGAAATGAGTTAGGCTTGAGTTTGTGAGTATAGTAGAATTAGTTCTGCTATTAGAATAAAATGCATTAAAATGAATCATATGACTTAAAGAAGGCAGTACTAGCCTAGTAGTAAGAAAAAGACTGAAAGTTGAAAGTCCTCTGTGATTTTGACAGTATCAGATGTCATCATGTTGCTTTCTAGACAGTCTCCTATGGTAACCAAGAGGTAAACACTAAAAGTGTTGGTGGCTGTGGTTGCAAGTCTTTTTCTTTTCACTGTAAAAACAAAAACAGTGTGCACAATTAATTTGTCTAATATATATACAGGACCTAACATAGTTTGGCATGTAGTCATGGTAATTTCCAGCTTCTCTGAAACAATTGTACTGTTTAAGAATTGCTCTTAGAGGCTGGCTATAAAATAAAGCATAGAACTTAATCTTTGTATTTAGCTTATATAAGTCAGTAAGGTAACTTCCAGACTTGCTTTATGTGTTTATAGTCTATAATATACCCCTGTTGATCGAAAGCAAATCAATACTTTTTTGGGAATCATTTAAAAACATATCTGTGACTAGGAGCCCCAAGGCCTTTTCAGAGCTTGATAATATGCTGATGGTTGTATAGCTTGGATAGAGGGTGCTCTGCACCCCTGCAGCTGCGCACTGGCTAGGTTCTGTCTCCTCCACCAGAAGCAAGCTTTGTTCCGTGTGGCACTGCTGTCCACACACAGAGCAGCCTTTGATGGGCTGTCTTTGACGTGATTTGTTTACGGCAGCCAGAAATGCTTCCTGCATAATGAGAGCAGTTAATCATAGAAACTAGGCTATTCCTGTTTGT